GATCGAAGTGGATATTTCGTGAAAACATCCTTTGTGCTATCTGTATTTGTTACAGAGGGGGAAAAGAATTACAACTGTTCCGTGCAGACGTTCCTTTATCGCTCGAACCGCGTGGTTCACAGCTGCTAAACAGCACGTGATGGTGACATAATCGCGCGAGGCAGCAACGATTATGCGCGCCGCTCACGATCGTCGCGCGCCATTAATTTGCCAAGTGTCTCTCGGGTCTATTCGATCGACCCTGGTGCATTTCTGTGCACCGGAATCGTATCTGCTTTAACCTTCCTTCGAATAAGTACGCGCCGCCATCGCTGGTGATCGCGCGACGCTGATTTCCGCGAAAGAAATCTCACCTACCGTTGCTGAACCAATCGCGATTCAGCGTGATAACGGAGACAAAAGCCACGGGTGAAACGATCCACGCGAACACACCGCCAGAAAAACACAATTTTTTTCTTTTTATTCGTGTCAAAGATAAGAAAGAAATGTTATTATTTTTAACAAAAACAGATTGGAATTCATTTTTTTTTTTTTAACGAAAACAGATTGGAATTTAATTCCACAAATGTCAACTCGCACGATCTTGTTAAACATTTATTATGCAAGACACGGTGTTCCTTTCACGTGCTCGAACGAACGGAATTCCGCTATAGATCATTCTGATTTATTAAATCTCCTTGGTACCGTCACCGTGAAACAGCAAATTACGACTTCCGTGTAAACGTCTGATTTTTGTATCTCGTAATTCCAATGATATTAGAAAGTACGTTTCTCGATAGTAAAAATGACCAACGTTTTTCGATTTAAACAACAAGAATCGTACATCTCATAAATAAAAATATTTTTAGAAATTACGATTCACTGTTTATAAGAGATTCATACGATATCTGTCATTTAATAAAATTCACTTTACGTTTTTCCAAGCTCAAAGGTCGTTTTTACCTTTTTTATGACGGTATCGTTACGTCTTTCGATGTGATACGCATTCGACACGATGTTGAGCATAATTATACGCTTCCATGCCGATCGCTTTGTTCATGGCCATCATTATTTGCAAAATTGATTCGAAACCTTCGTCGAGAATGCCGGAAGCGACAATGGTCGCAACTTTAATAATACCAAAGCCACAATACAATATCTTTCTGAACGATTTCATATATTATCGCATTTAAATTTTCATTATTTTGAAGAAATTGTCTGATTCATCCTTCGAATAAAGAGTCCTTTTTTATATTTTTGGTCCCAGGAAAAAATTCAGTCATTTCAGTGATATTTAAATATTAAATAATTTACAGCAACAATTTTCTCCAGATCTCTTATCTTTCTGAACGATCTGATATATCATTGCATTCAAATTTTCATTATTTTGAGGAAATCTTCTGATTCATCCTTCGAATAAAGAGTCCTTTTTGATATTTTTGTAAATGTATTTTTGGGTCGAGGAAAAAATTCAGTGATTTCAATGATATTTCAATATTAAATAATTTACAGCAGCAATTTTCTCCAGATCTCTTATCTTTCTGAACGATTTGATATATTATTGCATTTAAACTTTCATTATTTTGAGGGAATTTTTTGACTCCTCTTTTGAATAAATCTCTTTTGATATTTTCGTACATGCATTTTTGGGCCCAGGAAAAAATTCAGTGATTTCAGAGATATTTAAATATTAAACAATTTACACTTTTCTCCAGATCAATAAAATTAAATTTTTGTTGCTTCAATATATTTTAAGACAATCTCCTTTAAATGTAAAACAAATTTTAATTCAATTTAAATTCATGTTCTCTAAGTTACAGCAATTTACACAAATAAATTTTTTAAAAATTGTCGAGCTCAAATGGTGCCTCTTGAGATTTATTTCATTAAAAATTCCTATTGCTTGCAAGTTAAATTATTTGATTGCAATACAGATAGACTTGAACATCAGGACAAGTAGAAACAGTGAGACATCTTTAATAAGTACTGTGCTCTAAAATAAATGTATGTGTTCATTTTGTACATGATAAATGCAATTTTTCTCCAGATTTCTTAATAAAATTAAATTTTTGTCGCTTCAATATATTTTAAGACAATCTCCTTTAAATGTAAAACAAATTTTAATTCAATTTAAATTCATGTTCTCTAAGTTACAGCAATTTACACAAATAAATTTTTTAAAAATTGTCGAGCTTAAATGGTGCCTCTTGAGATTTATTTCATTAAAAATTCCTATTGCTTGCAAGTTAAATTATTTGATTGCAATACAGATAGACTTGAACATCAGGACAAATAGAAGCAGTGAAACATCTTTAATAAGTACTGTGTTCTAAAATAATACGTGTTCATTTTGTAAGTGAAAAATGCAATTCACGCTATGGAACTTCCAGGTAGAGCCAATCGAAGGACAGGAAATCGTTTAAACTGCGACTTTATCTCAAATAATATCGGAATCGCGTGTCACGACGAAGAAAGGTTTGTGCAGCGGCACGTGACGTACGCCCATGATAATGAGTTTCTCAAAGCAGGCGATAATTTATCCCGATTGTCGGCACCAATAGTAGCTGTTTTGACACGATATCTGTTGCATAATCTGCGCTTGCACTTCGTAACGTTATCACCAGCGCGCCGTTAATGCGTTTAATTAACTACGTGGCCATTATTTTCTTCAAATAATTAATTCTAATCACGGAGCACGGAGAACATAGAATATAAATCGGAACGTTTTCCTATTTTGAGACTTCCAGATTCCTGAGACAATAATTTTAGTAATGAAAATTAAGTTATTCGTGAACTATAAAATCAGAACGAATACAAAAATAGATATTTAAATTTTAATCAAACGAGCGAATATTATTGAATATTCATCGATGAATAAATGTTATTACTTGCAAATAAATACGCTCTCGACCGCTAAATAAAAAATATGTTTAAGTTCGAATGTTTATTCAAAAATATGACAAAGCAAAACTTCTTGATAAATGAAGATTTATAGACTCCAAATTAATGAAATCAATTTGTTTGGCTTGTCGACTGTTTAAGTACAAATATAAATAGCGATATAATAAATGGAACCTACATGAACAGCAATAAAAGAAATTTGTGTCAATAATGGAAAATTATCACCTACTGAGGTGATAATCATCGGTATTTATAAACGGGATTTTAATTAATTGGAGTTAAGTAGTGCTCGTTCGTTTTACGTTAATCGTTTCTTTTTTTGCGATTAAACTGCAAGGTGATGTTTGTCACGAATAATTGACGCGCTTAATATTAAACACACACAATTATGTCGTTTTAATTGCAAGAAATCAGGCGATCGTACGGCAGGAAAATGTTTCCCAAACACTGTCAAACGTCGCAATCGTTATCTTTCGCTAAATCATAAAACCACGTTTTCACAAACGGGATTAAATATTTATTAACAACAAATACTATATTTACGATATTTGACGCGCAGTAGGTCAAATTCATGTAATTACTGCAGGCAGAAAGTGACAATTTCCATAAAACTCGTAGCTGATAAAATTATTTGAATTGTATAAATTAAATAAAATGTGTTATATTTGTCACCCGTATTTTATATTAAACTTAAGAACAAATAAGAGTGTTTTCGATCAATATTCTAGGAAATCGACTTTGAGTTCGGGTTGTAAACAGGCAAACGTTGTACGCGGAACTCCGAAGCAGGGTAGACATTATCGTGCATTATCGTAATTTTAGTAATTTTAGTTTACGTGTAATCTAACGTCACACGTCCTGGAAAATTGTGGCTTGTACCGCATGCTATTAAATATTTATACGTTAGGTAACTATAAGATTACCATATTTTGATGCACTCAGTTTCGTTGAAACGAGTTGCTTGTCGCGAAAATGATCTGAATGTTAGAATAGTTGATGAAACAAATCAAGAAAAAATAGTTTCTTTGTTTTTATCATTCAAAGTTCGGTCTTTGGAACGGAGAAGATACTTGAACGTATTCTATGTTCAACTTGTCGTGAATCTATCGTGAACTTATTATAGACAACTGATGAGCATGTCAGAAACATATCTCGAACGTGTCATGAATATATCATGAATCTATCGTAAACGTATCATGACTGGTGGCGTAAACATGTCACGAGCCTATCCTAATTACATCGTGAACTTATCGTGAACTTATCGTGAACTTATCGTGAACTTATCGTGAACTTATCGTGAAGTTATCACGAACTTATTATGAACTTATTAAGAACTTATCATGAACTTATTAGGAACTTATCGTGAACTTATCGTCAACCTGTTATAATCTTATCGTGAACCTATCGTAAATATATCGTGAATTTATCGTTAACTTACTGTAAATATACCGTGTATACCGTCCTAAACGTACAGTGAACTTATCTTGAACCTGTCATAAACCTATCTTATGAATTCCTGTGGAAAAAGAACGTTAATTTTTCGAAACAACACCAGAAGATTGCCTCGAGGTTGCTAGTCGCTCGTGTGAAAAAAAAATTCTCGAAATGGGCAGGGTTAAACATATCGTAAATGAATCGAAATCCTGTCGTAAACGTACCGTGAACCTATCGTAAACGTATAGCGAAGATATCTTAAATTTACCGTAAACATGTCGCGAATGTATCGTGTACGTATCATGAATGTATCGCAAACATGTTGTAAACCTATCCGCAACGTATTCTAAACTTATCCTGATTTTACTCCAAGTGTACCATGGAATGATAAGATACGAAGTAAATTTAACATCGATCAACAAAACGGATAAAACCGTCTATGTGTGTCAACGTCAAGGGTAAATCAACTTCTTACGATATTGTACATTTCAAAGACAATATAAATCTTAAATATACAATTCCACTTATTGTCTGTTGAGTGCCTCGATGTTTCGAAGTAGGCGAAAATTCATCGATAATTTAAAAAAATACACAAAATGGGGTATTTGATACCAAGTATGGATCAACGTCAAATGTTATTTTCTACTGTAAGAATTTAACTAACATAATTATTTCTTTTTTTGCAGGACCCAGCACATGGGTGACAAAGTTCCCAATGGCGGCAGGTTCCAGGCAGAGTCCGGTGAACATCGAAACGAAACGTGTAGAATCCGACTACGAGGCTCTAAGTAGCAAACCCCTTCGATGGCAATATCCGGCCACCGCTTCCCGGAAGCTCGTTAATCCGGGTTATTGCTGGCGCATAGACACCGATTGCGAGGGCACGCGTGAGTCTATTTTCATATTTCAGTTTATCCTTTCAAAAAACACTGACCGCCGCTTAAAGACGGAACACGTTGCGCGCGCAGAAACGAGAAATCGAGTGGTGGGGGATCGTATATCCAGGGCCTTGAGCGGCCAATTAATTTGTGCCTAAACATTTTGATATACGAAGATCATATTTCTACTGCAAAAAACACGGTTCAACTCGAATTTTTTATGTCATACTTTTTTTAACAGCCAATTCTATTAGCCAGCTTCCTGTTGAGTCGATTAATATCAACAAGTTTTTGCGTGTAGGTATTTTTGTGAAAATCGGAACCATTTATCACTCGTTCGCGAAGATGTCATTCGAAGATTTCTTTTTTCGTTCCGTGTATTGTAACGAATATAACCATTTATCAATGCCGCATCAATTACCAGGTGTCAGAAATTCGTTCGAAAATAACTCGATCGGTCGTTCGTCAATCATTCTGTCAAAGCAAAGAACGGAAAGTTTATACAATTATCGAGCAAATAAAAGAGTTTTTTAGCCGAATTACTCAAAGTACACGACGTATTATTTATTTGTTTCACGTTTTTATGGCACAGATTATACATAAATAGAGAAAATTTCATATGGAAAATTAAATATGAGAACTGCAAGTTAAATGAAAATAAAAATGGTCGAGCAATTCAATTTTACATTTTTAAATACAAAATATTTCACTCTATTTTTACATATTTAAAACGTGCAGAAATCATGCCTTTTAAAGAACCCAGTGTGTTCTTTAATTAATTAGGGTAACCATAAAGTGTCGGGTCAAAAAGTAAGAAAGAATGATTACAAAATATTAATCATAATTTACACTACTGCTTGGCACATAAGTATTGTAAAACACGTTCTTCCAAGTATTTTGTTATTGATGAAATATAACGTTTATCTAAAATATAGTTAATTAAAGAATAAAGAGTAATGTACCACAAGGTAAACATGTTCCAATCGTGTGTAAAAAAAAGTTTATCTCGTATTATATCTTTAAAAAAGAAATACTGACAAAATAAGATACATGTAGTTAATAGTCGTGAGTAATCAAATTCTGACAGTTTTTTTATGTCCAGTGAACACGTGACGCTAATCTCGTATTAATATGATAATGCTGCAAATGTTTGGAACTAATTTATAAAAGAAAGTGATTAAAATAACAAGATGAATGTATCGTACGAAACATAACACTCCCCTGTCACTCGTAGCAAATATAAAGTATTTTAAAAAAAAAAAGTAGATACATACATGGTAATGTTTGCAGGTTTACTTTCCAGTAATGTTTATTATATTAATATCTAAAACTAATATTTAGTCAATTTTGGCGCGTTAGCATCTCCAGATTATATCCTTCTTGATATTTGTTATTAAGTCGTGGATAATTTTTTGTTTCATATTGTATCATTCTTGCTGCGTCAATAATTAATTATTTTGTTTTCGTTTTCAATATACTTCAAATCTGGACTTTGAACTGCCCCATTGTATCAGAAAATAATATCTGATTTGCTGACTTGCTAATTTAATTGTCTATCTACTGATCCCTGTATTTTTAAAAAATGATTTCCCTCTCGCCATGATTATACTTTGTACAACTGATAATTAAGCTTTTTCTCAAATTCATCGACTGAAAGAACTTTAATATTTCCATTTGTAATTCCTACTAGTTTTGAATAGATGAATCAGTGTTTTTTGATTGGCTCAAGTATCAGGGTCCCCCCATCTAACCCAAATCAATTTATTTTGGCCCCATCAGACCATACAACTCGTTTTCAATCGTTCCTAGTCCATTCTTCATATCTCTTTGGTCAGATTTCTAGCGTCTTCTTTTTGAATTTCAAGTGTACTCTTTTTAACCCTCTATAATACATTCGTCTTTCTTTTATTATCTAGTTCCAAACATTTACAGTAAGTATTATCGCTCCATTACAAGATTAGCGTCGTGTGTTTACACTTTTGCGCGTCAGTGTATATAACTCGAACAATTTAAGAAAAAAAAAGAACCAAACATGTAAAAAGTAAACTATTTTTTATATACAGCTATTGTAATACGTTTACCTTGTAGTACAATCCCCTTTATACTTCAAAATATTAACAGCCAAAAACCAATCAAACTTGTAAAATTTTCAGAAAGGCCAGTTTTATTAAAATTTAAAGTAGTAGTTATTTTTATAACTTGATCGATCTTCGAGAGTCCTGTTCAAATTTATTTTCTTCAACATCTCCTATCAAAATTAATTTAACTTCCTAGTGAAAAGTCGATATTAATAATTTACATCAAAATGACTGGCATTTAAAGTTAGAGGTTTCACTTTTGACATGAAATTCCTCAGGATCTTTCGGATCCTGCACTATGGTTATCTCTAATGCAATCTAGTTACGTATTCGTGCACGATTATGAGAGTCCCGTGACATGGTTAAGGGATTCTCGCAGAGTGTTTGCATTCGTTAGCCCAGTGTTTCTCAATCTTTTTCGACTCGTGGCCTACTTCTGACTTTCATTTATCCAGAAGAAAAAAGAAAACTGACTTTCATTTATCCAAAAGTAAAAAAGAAAACAAATAATAATATACTGATCGTTAAATAGTTTTCGTTTTCCAAAAAATTCATTTTATTCTCAGAAATCGATTCTAAATCTCCCTCAAAATACAATAAAATTGCTACCATCCGCTGCCACGTTGTAAGCATTTCGTACATCGTTTCTTCATATTCTTCGTAACAGAATCGACACGGTCGAAGAACATAAAGAAACACGACGTACGATGAACTCACAGTGTGGCGTCAAACCGTTAGCCTTCTTCATTCTCAGAAATCATTTTTAAAAAAACGAATATATTAAATTCCCTCTAAACACACCCATTATTCGCAACAGAGTCGAGGAACATAAAGAAACACGATGTACGGAGGAGCTCACAATGTGGCGACGGACCTTTCAAATGGCTTCTTCGAGTCCTATTAGTCTTGTTTTGTAACATCATAGCAGAACGAAAAAATAGTTCGTACGTTCGAACGAAAACAAAAAGCCACTTACGGGACAAAAGTTCTTGTTACTTGACTGCAAATATCCTATGTTTCCTAGAAATATCGAGGAAAAATTGCAGAGAGCGTGTGTTTGGGTTTGGAGTTATTCGACCGTGTGAGATAAATTGCACGTTGACCCGGTGGAACGAAATATCGAAAATGTCTCGGAACGTAAGGGGTTAAGAAACGCGCGGCGTGTCGTGCGCGGGGCTGGTTCGTGCATTTAAATGCGAACGTAAGAGAACTCGTTCGTTACCTGAAAGTCCGAGGCGCGTACTCGAGAAGAACGATTGCGATCGGCAGCATTGAATTGCAGATCGACCGCGAATGCAAATATGTCCCCCGGGTTGAATTGGCTGCCGCTCGAGATTTCGTGGGAAGAGGCCTTTCGATGGAGAGTCGCCAAGCCGCTCGGGATCATCGATCCTCTGTTCGATATCGAATCGCTGGCACGCGTTTCACATTGTTTTAGAACCGTACGAAAAGTCCTAGAAAATTGAAATTATAAAGTACGAGAAATATCGATGGCTGATTATTTATAATTCTGAAAAATTACATCGACAAAATTTATGAACGATTTCCAAATGTAAACAACATCAAAATGTTGCTTTAAGAATACTTTATACAAGAAAAAGAATATAAAAATGGAATTGTTCCCACAGAGGTTCGAAACAGTGAGTTATTTTGAAATTTACACACAAAATTTGAGAATTGGATGTCCCAAATTATAAATCGACCTACAAGAGTATAAATCATCGATGAAAAGTCGTATTATAAATTTGAAATTATAAAGTACGAGAAATATCGATGACTGATCATTTGTAATTCTGAAAAATTATTTTGACAAAATGTTTTGAACGATTTTGAAATGTAAACGACATAAAAATGTTGCTTTAGAAATAGTTAACGCGAGGAAAGAATGTGCAAAATGGAATTGTGCCCACATAGGTTCGAATCAGTGACCTATTTTGAGACATAGCAAAATTCGGAAGTTTAATGTCTCCAACTATAAATATCTCTGTACGCAAAGTTTGACGCAATATCTGTTTGATTTTTTAATTATCGATGATTCGCAAAGGGACGTGAATAAGGCTTTGACTTATGAAGTTGTCAAGTTGAAGAGGTTCGAATTATAAAAACGACTGTAGTGTGTTTTTTAGTGTAACTTTGAGAATTTTATTTCGGCAAACATACAACTATAACTTATTGTATCTGTTTACAGTAAACCACCAATATTCGACTGAAGCTTCCCCCTTAGAGAAAAATTATTGTTTTTCTTTAGACTTTATCTCCCCACGTGATTAATATCTAAAAAAATATCGTCCAATTTTGTCTTGAATCTAAAAATTATTTCAACGATTCACACACTAGGAAAAAGAAAGTTGCAGTAGTTGACACATTAAAAAATACTAAAATTGCGTTACTCGACATTTCCTATTTCCAATAAATAAAATAATAACCTTTCTTTATTGATCGTTAAACAGTTCAATAAGAATTTGTAACATCGATGAAAATAATAATTTTAAAGAGTAACGAAATACAACCAACACCAGTATCGAACCTCTTAACATCCAATAAGGTTAAATTACGTTTGTATTACTAATTGTTTTACTTATTTGAGCTCCAACGAGCAAACATCGTCGCTACTTTTTCTTTCGGTAAATATTTGACGAAAGCTTTAAGAAATTAGATAGTATTATATGTCTCGTAGAATGAACTTTTACAAGTTTATAAGTAAAAATGAAACCGCATGAATTGTTAAACTCTTCAATTACCGTTTCCCGATTAGGAAATGTTTTGTTCCTCGTAAATACGGCTCCAAACGGTGAAAATGGTGAAAGTTGGAGAAAGGTTCAGTGCTAGATGTGGCAAAATTTCATAGTCCAATGCAGCTGAAAAAAAATGCGATTTCGCCATTGCGATGCGTGAAGCGCTGACCTGCAAAATCTTTTATAAAACGTAATA